TTGCTCTGTCGCCCAGGCTGGAGTGCAGTGGCATCATCTTGGCTCACTGCAACCTCTGCCTCCCGGGTTCAAACAGTTCTCCTGCCTCAGCCTCCCAAGTAGCTGGGATTACAGGTGTGCACCACCATGCATGGCTAATTTTTGTATTAGTAGAAACTGGGTTTCACCATGTTGGCCAGGCTGGTCTGGAACTCCTGACCACCTGATCCACTCACCTTGGCCTCCCAAAGTGTTGGGATTACAGGCATGAGTCACTGCGCCCATAATTCTTGTGTTTTATATGTGAGATTTGTGTGGCAGGGCGATCTCTTTTTATATAATGTAAATTGCGTATATCCATTTTTCTGGTAGGTTGTTTATTTGTTGTGGGAGATGTAAACAAATAGGAATGGGAAAAGGAAGAAATTGTTATTTTCATAGGCCAAAATATAGTCACTAAACTGATGAGTACATTTGGAAACCAGTAATAATGTGTGGAAATATTCTGATTAAAGAATTGGAATTCCAATGTACCTAGGTCAAGTGGTTTTGAAGACTCAGCACATTTCATGCAGCCAGTCCACACCATGAATTCGCCTCTTAAACAAGGACCTAGGTGTAATCTACATGGGATCCAGGTTCACTCAACTCCTTGGCATTTCCACACTCAGACCCAAAATTTGCAACAGTTAGTCAGATACCTCTCTCTGTTGTCCTTTTCCTAGAATTGAGGTAGAAATTAATACTGTAATTAATGAAAACATATTATGAGACTGATGAGGAATTCTTGCTGATCAATTTGAACCAGGAGATAGTATTCTGCTCTGTATTTTGCAGTTAGCACTGGAAAAATCAGTTACAGGACAGGGAATATGTGACTTTTCAGAGGCAACTGAGAAAGGGACTTAGAAATTTTCATTGATTTTGAACTTAAGCCAAGAGTTTGATTTCACATCCAAAAGGATCTTATATTCTTAGGCTACATTAATGTTATATGGTTTTTAGATCAGGAAGGTTTTTACTTAGAGAGTTAATATGAATTATAAGAAAAGTAATAAAATCCTAATAGAGAAATTGCAAAGGATCTGAACAGATAAACAACAAAAGTATTTTCACTTGGAAAATGGGGAAAACCTCAGTATGGTTAAAGTAGTACATTAGTATGAGTTCTCCAGAATGATAGAACCAGTAGCATGGATGGATGGATGAATGGATGGATGGATAGATGGATCGGTGGGTTGGTAGGTGTGTGGCAGGGCTTTTTTATTAGGGGAATTACCTTATGTACTTAGGAAGGCTGAGAAGCTTCATAGTAGGCTGTCTTGCAAGCTGGAGAACCAGGGAATCTGGTAGTGTTCAGTCCAAGTCAGAAAGCCTCAGAACCAGGGAAGCTGGTGGAATAACTCTAAATCCAAGGCTGAAGGCCTGGAAATCCGGTAAGGGTTGGAGAACACTGGTGGGAGTCCTCAAGTCCAAAGGCCCGGAAGCCTGGAGTTCTGATGTCCAATAGTAGGAGAAGGTAGGGTATTCCAGCTCCAGGAGAGAGCACAATTAGCCTTTCCTCTGCCTTTTGTTCTATCCAGGCCTCCGGCCTATTGGATGGTACCTACCCATGTTGAGGGTATATCCTCCCACTCAGTCCACCCACTCACACACCAGTATCCTCTGGAAACACCCTCAGAGACACTCCCAGAAATAGTACTTCACCAGCTATCTAGGTATCTCTTAATCTAGTCAAGTTGACACCTAAAATTAACCATCACAAATAGCAAGGTATTATTCTTTGCTTCTTAATTTAGCAATAGGTTTTCTTTGTTTATTTTTGTTTTTGGAGACAGAGTCTCGCTCTGTTGCCCAGGCTGGAGTGCAGTGGCACAATCTTGGCTCACTGCAACTGCCACTTCCCAGGTTCAAGCAATTCTCCTGCCTCAGCCTTGTGAGCAGCTGAGATTACAGGTACCTGCCATCACACTGGCTAATTTTTGTATTTTAGTAGAGATGGGGGTTTCACCATGTTGGCTAGGCTAGTCTTGCAACTCCTGACCTCAGGTGATCTATCTGCCTCGGCCTCCCAAAGTGCTGGGATTACAGGCATGAGCCACCACCCCTGGCCAGTTTAGCAATAGTTTTTGATAAGCAGTATAGTGTAGTGGTTGTCAGGCTGGGCCTGGTTTTGCATCTGGGCTCTGTTACCTGCTTTGTGATCTTGAGTGAGATACTTAACCTGTCTACATTTCCATTTTTCCATCAGTCAGATGGAGGTTTTCATAATACACACCCCATAGTGGTTATTTTTGAAAGTTAACATGAATTTAAACAGTTGAGCACATTGTAAACTCTTTCAAAACAACATTGGCCTTTTTAGGTCATGCATGTTGGGAGGATTGCTTGAGCCCAGCAGTTGGAGACCAGCCTGGGCAATATGTTGGAAACCTTCCTTTTTTTTTTTTTTGAGATGGATTTTCACTTTTCTGCCCCGTCTAGAGTACAGTGGCAAAATCTCGCCTCACCACAACCTCCACCTCCTGGGTTCAAGGGATTCTCCTGCCCCAGCCACCTGAGTAGCTGAGATTATAGGTATACACCACCCACTACACCCAGCTAATTTTGTATCTTTTAGTAAAGATAGGGTTTCTCCATGTTGGTCAGGCTGGTCTCAAACTCCTGACCTCAGATGATCTGNCTGCCTCAGCCTTGTGAGCAGCTGAGATTACAGGTACCTGCCATCACACTGGCTAATTTTTGTATTTTAGTAGAGATGGGGGTTTCACCATGTTGACTAGGCTAGTCTTCCAACTCCTGACCACAGGTGATCTATCTGCCTCGGCCTCCCAAAGTGCTGGGATTACAAGCATGAGCCACCACCCCTGGCCAGTTTAGCAATAGTTTTTGATAGGCACTCTAGTGTAGTGGTTGTCAGGCTGGACCTGGTTTTACATCTGGGCTCTGTTACCTGCTTTGTGATCTTGGGTAAGATACTTAGCCTGTCTACATCTCCATTTTTCCATCAGTCAGATGGAGATTTTAATAATACCCCATAGTGGTTATTGTTGACAGTTAACGTGGATTTAAACAGTTAAGCACATTGTAAACACTTTCAAAACTGCGTTGGCATTTTTAGGCCATGTGTGTTGGCTCAGCACTTAGGGAGGCCGAGGTGGGAGGATTGCTTGAGCCCAGCAGTTGGAGACCAGCCTGGGCAACATGTTGGAACCCTGTTTGTTTGTTTCTTTTCTTTTTTGAGTCAGATTTTCACTCTTTTTGCCCAATCTAGAATGCAATGGTGCAGCCTAGGCTTACCACAACCTCCGCCTCCTGGGTTCAAAGGATTCTCCTGCCTCAGCGTCCTGAGTAGCTGGGATTACAGGCATGCACTACCCACTACATCCAGCTAATTTTGTATTTTTAGTAGAGATGGGGTTTCTCCATGTTTGTCAGGGTGGTTTCGAACTCCTGACCTCGGGTAATCTGCCCACCTCAGCCTCTCAAAGTGCTGGGATTACAGGCACAAGCCGTCATTCTTGGCCTGGAACCCTGTTTTTATTAAGAAAGAAAAAAGCACTTTTAAAAATTTACTTTTTTTTTAAGGTGTTTTGTTTTTGTTTTTTTGAGACAAGAGTCTTGCTCAGCCTCCAAGGCTGGAGTGCAAAATTGCATTCTTGGCTCACTGCAACTTCCGCCTCTCAGGTTCAAGAGATTCTTCAGCCTTAGTTTCCCAAGTAGTTGGGATTATAGGCTTGCACCACCAGGTCCAGCTAATTTTTGTTTGTTTGTTTGTTTGTATTTTTACTAGAGACAGGGTTTCACCATGTAGGCCAGGCTGGACTCAAACTCCTGATGTCAGGTAATCCACTCGCCTCAGCCTCCCAAAGTGCTGGGAACAGGCATGAGCCACCATGCCTGGCCTGAAAATTGACATTTTTAAAAGATGTAAACAAACATTTTAAAAACATGTTGCTAGTGGCATTGAAAATTGGTTTAAGCCTTTTGAAGCACAATTTCAAGAGCCATAAAAATGCTTTACCTAGTAATTTCATTTTGAGACTAAGGAAATACTTCAAAATGCAGAAAAAGCTACATTTACTGAATCCTTCAGCACATTTCTCAAGCCCCCTACCTTGTGTAGGACCCTGGGCTAGCTCAGGATCCGGTAGTCTATGTTTTGCAATGTTAATCCCAGCATCATTTGTGGTTGTGGAAAAACTTGTAGCTGCTGTGTTTCCAACTGGAGAATGTAGCTAAATAATGATTACATCTATACTATAACATTTTATAAAGCCATTGAAAGTGGTAGCTTATTTATGATAAGTGAAAATAATAGGCTGTGATTCAACAGTCAGAATAAGATGCTGGGGAAAAGAACAAAAGGAAGTACTAACGGAATTAGAGTAAGTTTGATTGAGAGCTCTGCAGCAGGCGGCTATATTTTCTTTTCTGAGATTTCCGATTTTTCTTTTGTATAATTATAGAAGGTTTTCTGATCTTGCTTTTGAAACAAGTAAATTTAAATCCTATTTTTTCAAATTTGCTACATGTACCATGGTTAAAGTTGTTTTACATTTTATAATTTGTGTATATTCGTTTATAAAGTAGAAGTAGCCATGTGTTTTCAGTATGAAATAGCTTATTGTGTCTTATGTCAGCCCTACCAGACTTCGGGAGAGAAAGTATTTAATTGGAGTAGTATGGGCATGCATTCCATGCATTTATTTCTGTAGGGAAAGGTGGAAAGGCTTCTGGGAATCCACACTGTGCCAGGGCATTGTGGGTAATTGAAATGTATTTTCTTAATTTAGCTTCATAACAGCTCATGAAGGTGGAAAGTGTTATTAGCCTCATGCTATAAAGAACTTAGGGAAATAAAAATCAAGTAGTTTATCTGCCAAGGTCACACAGGTTAGTAGAGTATATGTTATTTTGTAAATTTATGAATTTAAAATATTTTATAAAAATATAATTTTAAAATAAACATTATTTTATTAATCCTACTAATGGCTTATTACTTTTTGTTTTGCTTTAAGAACGTTTTCACAGAATCCAAATGTTTACCGGAGAGGCCATATCGCTCCTCCTGGTCCCCCTGGAGATTATTCACACAGGAAGTACACTTGGAATCTGAAGCCAAATGCCAGTAGAGCAGCCCAGGAGAGAAAAAGGTGGTATCCTGACAATTACTCCAGACTATCCTATCCAGCCTATTGGGAATGGACCCAGTGATACAAAACTGTCCTGGAATTGTACCTGGAGACCAGAGCTGGCCTGAAGATTGCTGGTGATCAGGTTTAATGAGGTTTCTTTATTGTTCCCTTATGTGTTCAAGCTTAAGAAAAAATTATATTGCTGTTTACCTCGCTAGGAAGGTGGCACAGTGTTACTGGCTTGTGTGTTGTTGTGAAGGTGAACTGAAGTAGCGCATCTCACTGGCCCATGCACAGGTGGTGAGTCAGTGGTGATCTATACTCCAGGGTCTTTTCTGGGCCAGCTTCAAGCTGCTTCAGTTCACTTGGCTAGGTCCAGGTTATCATCTGCACCTAGAACTGTGAGCCCTTGCCATTGCCTGGTGGTAGGTTCCCCTGTTTTGTACTGACATTTCCCAACTGTGATCATATATGTATAAGGTAACCCAAACCTGCTGGAGATGAGTCCTGAATCTTATTTTCTAAAACACCTATCTGATAGGCCATGAGACATAAGGCCATCATCCATGGGAGATTTTGTACATTTCTTTTGGTCCACCCAGCCTCATTTTCTGCCATTTTCAACTTCTATCCAAATTTTATTCTTTTAGTCCTAACCTCAGATTCTGCATCTTAACTTCTGCCATTTCCCCCATTTCTGATTCTTTGTATAAGCTCATGAAATCTCTCCCCTTTTGGCTTTCTTAGTCCTGGACCATGTTCCTTCCTCTTTCCTCAGTTCTACTGTCTATTCTCACACCATCCAACTTTTAGTACCTTCTTGTTTTGATTTCATTTATTTATTTATTTTTTTGAGATGGAGTTTCGCTGTGTTGCTCAGGCTGGAGCCAGTAGTGTGATCTCGGCTCACTACAACCTCTGCCTCCTGTGTTGAAGTGATTCTGCCTTAGCCTCCCAAGAAGCTGGGATTACAGGAACCCACCACCACACCCAGCTACTTCTTTGTATTTTTAGTAGAGATGGGTTTGACCATGTTGGCCAGGCTGGTCGTGAACTCCTGACTCAGGTGATCTACCCACCTTGGCCTCCTAAAGTGCTGGGATTACAGGCATGAGCCACCACGCCCAGCCATAATTCCTTCTAAGGTGACCTTTGATCCCCACCACACCAAGGAAAACCCACAGTCAACAGCATCTCAAAACTCAAAAGCCTATTTATTACTTATCTATTAATTCTATTAGATTTCTTTATTAAGTTTAAAAAATATATTATTGGAATAAATAAATCAGTGTCTATGTATTTTGAAAAGCAGCTGGTATCCAAAGTAAAGCCAACAGCCTCAGCAGCTCTTAGATTCTGTAGCCATAGTATTGAGAAATTTCCATATCTTTTTCCCTTTGGATGAAGAACTGCAGTTTCCCCAAAGATGTATATTTGGCAGCATTCTCACGCTCTTGCTGAGCCTTCCTCTTCATGGCCTCACGCTCTGGCCTCTGCTCTTTTGTGATGGGCGTTGACACTACTGGCCCAGAAATGTCAGGTGTCCTCCATGGCCTGGGTTGTAAGCTAAAGTCTTGGATTAGAAATTGATATTGAGGCTTGGGCAGTGACCGGAGATTGGTCACAGCGGTGGAAACAGGCTCCCGCTGGAGAGAAGAGCAAGATGATGTTTCGTAGGGTGCTGGCCTAGAAGCAGCAGACTGAGAAGCAGTAGGAGGCTGGTTGGGGTTGGCTGAACCGGGTTGGGTTGCATTGGTGGAAATTGGCTGAGCTGGTCTGGCAGGACCTGTCAAAGATGTGTTGGTAGGAGCCGGTTGGGACGGACTGACTGCAGTCGACTGAGCTGAGTTAGTAGAACCAGGTCGAGCAGGGCAAGCCACAGCAGGCCTATGTGAGGCCGGAGGGTGTGGCCGCCGAAAAACAGGTTGAGCTTGAGGTTTGTCCAGGGTCAGAAATGGCAGTGGTACCAACTTGACCTTCCCAGGTGGCGGCAACTCATACTGGGATGGAGATGGACACTCTTTTTCAGCATTATCATCCAGTTTTTGGGCCTTGACTTGAGTTTTGTCCGGGCCTTTCCCCTCACATTTGGTATCCAGCCATGGTTTGAGAACTGAGAATGACTGGGGATTCTGGATGTTACTTGAGCTTCCCAGAGTCCAAGAGGAAGAGAATCCACTTTTCTTGTCGATCTTTTTCCCCAGTGCATGGAAAACTTGCACAGACTCTAGCATGTGCATGCCTAGGGAGCTTCGTGGCTTTTTGAACGTCTCTTGGCTAAGTTCAGGTTGATATTTCTTCCGCTTCGTTTTGGGAATAGCTTGCTTCTCTTCTACCTTGACTTTGTTCCCTGACGGCTTACTGTCTTCAGATTTCTTAGAACTGTTCTCTCTGCTCCTTTTGGTCTTCTCCTGCCCGTGCCTCTTAGTTGTGCTGCTCCTGCTGGATGCGGCTTTGTGAGGTTTGTTGCTAGAATCCTTGCCCTTGTTCACAGAAGCACTGTCACTGGCGGTAGCACTGCAAACAGCCACTGCTCCCTCTAACAGGCTCTCTGGGTTCTTTGGCTGGATTTTGGCCTTGGGAGCACCCTGGATAGGCTCAGCAGCTTTATGCTTGTTCTTCCTGACTTGATCAGAGTGACCTTTTATGATGCTTGACTTTTCCTGCACCTGATTTACCTTGATGGCACTGGGATCTTTGGCTTTCTTTACTGAGGGACTTTTGGGTTGGTCAAGGTCTTGTAAGGAACTGAAGATGGAGGGACTTTTGGGTTGTTCCAGATCTTGTAAGGAACTGAAGATGAAGGGACTTTGGGGTTGGTCAAGATCTTGTAAGGAATTGAAGATCGCGGGGAGGTGAGTACCCTCGACCAATGTAGTGATGTCTGCAAGATCATTGCTAGACTCAATCCCATTTTCAAGTATCCCTTGGCCCTCAAGACTCAGGCTGTTCTTTCTCAGATTGGCATTTTCGGAACCAGGCTGCTCCTCTTGGCCAAGAGGATCAATGCAGGACAGAAGCTGGTGAATATCAGGGATTTCTAAAGGAAGCAGTGAAGGATCTTGATTTTCTTTTGGGAACTGGTAGGCATCTAGAGGCTTTGAAACTTTGGTTTTAATCTCATCCAAATTCTTATTCTCAGTTTTGTCCTGGCTTCGAGCTGGAGACAGTGCCAAAAGATTAGTTGGACTCTGGACTGGAGCTATCATTGAAATGTCCCCAAGCTCAGGTGATGGATTACTCTCAAGTATCTGGGTATTTCGGGTATTGCAGGATTTGGAGAATCCTGGAGTTTGTGCCAGACAAAATGTCTGGCTTGGAGATTGAAATCCCAGGGAAGTATGCATCCCCAGGGAAGTTTCCATCACCACAAAGGAATCAAGGAAGAAGTCAATCCCTGGTAAATGAGATGTTCCCCCTATATGCCAATGCAACAATGTGATACCTTTCTAACATGGGCCAGGCATTTCTACTAGCTCTTCTTCAGGACCATGGATAAGACCCTGTCTTGGATGATAGGCAATGACTGTTCTCTTACTGGTTATCATTTGATGTGATTGTTTCTTGGCATTCTTTGAATTTCATAGTGGTGTTGTAAGCTAAATAAAAAGTGAAAGTGATTTTTAAATAGGAGATGTTTTATAAAGCCTCACATTCTCATATAGGGTCATTTCCATTCTCTCCACTCTCTTGAGAGAATAACAACCCTTTACACCATGGTCTAGGGGAGAGAGTGGAGCCCTTCCTCATGAAATATATAAGCAAGCACATATTCTGAGTCTGTTTGTTTTGGAGAGGATCTCTGAGCACAAGGTCTTAAATCCTATTGTAATTTAAGGAAAATCAAAATGTCACTGCAAAAATAAGAGTTCTGAAGGGCCTTCCAAAGAGACTAAAGTAATAGATTAAGGAAGAAAGTTACAGCCTGCTGGTGCAGGGGAACTGATTAGCCAGGCCACTAAAAAGTTTTGTATCTCTTGGGACTCTTGTTACAATTTTAGTATATGTGCTGCTGAAGTGAACACATCTCTTGGGACTCTCTTACATGTGGCATAGATGGCCATTATAGTCTTCCACTTTCCCACTTCGAAGGTTCTTTCAGGCTGTTCTTACACAGCCTGAAAATGATCAGCAGTGCCCAAGAATAGTGGTTGAAGTCTCAGGACTTAAATTCTGCCTTTCTGTGGACTTACCACTCGGCTATAGATTTGACCCTCCCTTTCAATGCTGAGTGTATTCCTCTCCTTTCTTTTTGGTTGTACTCACCTTGAAAACTGGTTTCTGTGATGGGTTCAGCAGATACAGGGTAATACATCCCAGAAGTGGAGACTGGTGGTAGGACTTTTGTTGGCTGAACCTCCTTTAGCACCATCACCATTTCTGGTTGATAGGCAGAGGTCCTATCTCCTGGGTATGACACAGAGTCATAGGATTGCAGCCAGGGGCCAAGTTCTCCAGATAGTTGAGGCCCCAGTGTGCCTGGATTATAGTAATAGACCTGGCTTCCTTTCTGGTAGGGAAGTGACAGGCTATGGCCGTGTTGGTTTGGAATTTGAGATTGTGTCCTCTGAACAAGGCTGGCAGATAGTGTTGGATACAGAGGAACCATAATATTGGCGTCTGAAGTTTTATCATGCTGGGCTGTCATAGACATGGAAGAGACACCTGTGTTCTGGTCAATAACAGTCACAGTGAAGTCCCTGAGTGAGGATGACTTCTTTTCTGTGCTTGCTGTAATGTCCCACGCAAAAACGCTTGGGTAAGAGGCAGTTGAAGTAGAGCTGTGGCTCTGGCTACTAACCCCAGACAACATAGATGTGCTGGAATGTTGGTAAAGGTAGGCACTGCCCGTGAGTGGCTGGAAAGAGGTGCCAGAGGCTGATGTCAGTAGCCATGCTGAGCTAACAGCTGGAGCAGAGGCTCTGGAGAAGTTGGAGATGCCTCCTGTAAAGGAAGCCACATTGCTCACCACAGGCAGTGAGAGCTGCAGAGAATTTGCAGTTCCAAGCAAAGAAGTA